GCCTCGCCCCTCGCCGGCGCAGGGACGCGAGGCGCGCGGGGACGCACCGCGCCGCCGCCTCTCCCCGCGTCCCCGGCGCATCCCGCTTTCTTCGCGCTGGCTGCCTGCACAGTCCGTCAGTGAAGGGCACTCAATGCCGTGTGGCCCGAGCCTGACTCAGTGCCGGGGCCGACCGGCGGCACCGCACGGAGCGCGGCTCCCTCTGCAGCGCCGTCCGCCCCTGCGCCTCCCGGTGCGCACCGACACGCTCCCCGGGTGGGCGCCGGGGCACAACGCGGTCTCCTGTCGCCCGATCCGGAGGAAGTGCGGCCCCAATCCTCAGGAAGAGGAGCCGACGAGGAGTAGGCTGCACCTTCCTTCACTCCCGTTTGCTTTGGGATTAGAAGACAGTTCGTAGATTACATTTCCTGCGGGCATCTTTTGTGTAGTGATTCAGACGGACGAACGCTTTGCTTTTGAAGGAACAGATTAGCGGCTTCTCCACCGGGTTGGAGGGGATGGAGATTTTTGATAGCCTCTTAAATATGAAAGTTTCCTTTAGAACTTTGACATCGTAGGTGTGATTCAGAAGACTGCACCGATCTGAAATTTTAAATATATGCAGAGTTTCTGGCCAGATGCGTTTCTTTGTGCGTTTATCTGTTGGCATCCTCCTCTTAAGTATTTTCGTGGCCGAAACGCACAAATAATAAAAATCAAGTGCAGTAAAAAGCACGAGATCATAAAAACAAGTACAATAACAAACAAATGTCCTCTGGAAAATTTCAATTCTGTCAGCAGGGAGGCGGTTTTACTAGTGTCTGAAGAAACGGGCTGGGAGATCTTGTGGATTATGTAGTGGACGGGGTCTGAGGGCAGGCAGGTCTGGCGTTTGCGTGGAGTGCTCTTAACCGCTAAAATATGGTGCATGCATTTGTTTGGGTATATTTATTTTTAGATGATTTTAAGGTGGAGACTGCAGAGACTTATACAGCTCAAAGTTATCTAAGAACAAAATACTATGTATTTGTGATTTTTAATTTTTTTACTACTTGTCTTGAAATACGTTGTTTTTGATGAGTGTTTATCACTAAAACATCTTTTATAAAATATTAAAGAGTTCTTTCTGCGTTAAAATTATCTCAATTCCCTTTAAGTAGTTTCAGTAAGGGGCGTTTCTGACAGTAGGTTAAAAAAATTGGTATTTCTTTATCGAAGAATGTATCTGTTGAAATTGCCGAGGCACTGGTACCTTCACAGAACTCTATTAGTTTTCTGCGTGAGTGAGAGAGGAAATGAACACATTTTTAATGTACTCTGGAACCCCGTGGATTCTTCAGATAGATACTCAGCATTGTGAAATAGGGCTTCAAATGAGTGGTAGCAAGCTAGTTCCGTGAAATATTTGTCACTCTTAGCATTTTTTTTTCCTGTTGACTAGCGATTTCCTTCTTCATAATGCGCGTCTCTAATATTAGTGTAGAACGCTGCGTACGTTCATCGTTTCCCCAGATGCCTAGGTTGAGGCAGACTCTCAAAACTCTTGTAAGAAGATAAGGAGGTGGTGCTGGTAAATACCTCTAATCTTAGCCATCTTTTTAATTTGCTAAATTTGTGAATTACAGAGAATTAATTACACGAGGGTTGGGTTTACATTACTCAGCGCAAATTCCACTGCTGTAGCTCTTTCTTGAGCCTTTTCCGGGTGATTATCCCCTTCTGAATGGCTCCATCACTGATTGGTCGGGTTTCTCAAATTCTGGACGTCAGATCACCTACATCAGCAATAACTGAGGTTATTAACTTGTTAAAAAATACGGGTTTCTGTCAACCCATCTCAGAGTGTCTGGGGGTGGGGCCCCAGAATTGGTATTTTCAACAAGTTCTCCAGGAATGTTTCCTGCATGGTAAAGTTGGAGAACCACTGGCATTGTGCTTCCTCGTCACTGAGCATCTCCTAAATTGTATTCAGTTCTTTATGATGGTGTCTTTAAATGGATAGCAAGATTTTCCAGTGCCAGAATAAGTTTTACCATAGGCTCCTCATTAAAACCTATTGATCATGATCTTCAGCTGTGTAATATACCTATCTTGTAAGTTTCAGAAGGGCCAAGACTTTGGTTGACTGCTCTATCCCCAGGGCCTAGAATAGTGCCTGGAGGAATGCGATCAAATATTTGTTGAGTAAAGGAGTGAACTGCCTTGCAGTGAGGCCAAATGTAAAAATCTTGACTTGTGAAATTAACCTTGTCACTTAGTAGTTACTGAATTTATAAATTAGGAGTGACGGTACTGTACCTGAGTCATTCCTGTGAGTTTTGAAAGGAGAAAGCCTTTCCCAGGACCTAGAGAGTGCTTGGGGTGATAAGATGGAGAGAAGGCCCCTAGGAAGTGTTTACTTAGAGGCTCAAAACGTAAATTTAAGTCACAGTGTAGCAATAAATCACTGTGTTATCAATATACCAAAATGCCATTTTTATAAGCCACGATAAGCCCAACAGAATGCTGTAGAAATTGGTTTCTGGTAAATATAGAAAGTTGATGTGTTGCTCAGTTTCACTTTTCATGCGAATAAAATATGATCTTCACTCCCTTTTTCCAGAGTTTAGCCTGTTGTTGTTGGATTCGGTTGAGTCGATTCTGACTCATAGTGACCACATGTGACAGAGTAGAACTGCCCTATAGGGTTTCCAAGGCTGTAAGTCTTGACGGAAGCAGACTGCCACATCTTTCTCCTGTGGCACAGCTGGTGGGTTTGAACCTGACCTTTGGTTAGCAGCCAAGTGCTTTAACCACTGCACACAGGGCTTCTTTCCAGAACATCTAAAAAACCAAACCCAACCCAGTGCCATCAAGTCAATTCCAATTCATAGCGACCCTATACTATAGGACAGACTAAAACTGCCCATAGAGTTTCCAAGAAGCACCTGGTAGATTTGAACTGCTGACCTTTTGGTTAGCGGCCGTAGCATTTAACCACTTGCCACCAGGGTTTCCTCCAGGGCATCTAGGGCTCCATAAATAACAGGCTCTTAATACGTAGTTGAGGGTGTTGGATAGCAGTGTGGTTACGCATGCAGCTGTGGAGAGTATTGGGTTTGACCACTTCTGGTCTGTTACTTGGATCAAGTCACCTAACCTCTTCGTGCCTCAGTTTTCTTAGCTGAAAATGGGGGTAATTATACCCACCCAGGACAGTATGTTGATTTAAAATTGATAAAGTTTAAATAATGCTTCTTAATGCTTGCGTAAGTTCTTGAAATATAAATGGCTTTGATGATGATAAAGAACTGGGGTATATAAAAATACATAAAATGCCAAAGCTAACCCATTTTAATTTTTATACTTCTGTACTTTATGGTAGTAAGTAGAAATCCGTTGCTTTTTTTTTTTTTTTTTAATTGTACTTCAGGTGAAGGTTTACAGAACAAATAGTTTCTCATTAAACATAAAACATATTGTTTTATGACATTGGTTAACAACCCCACGACATGTCAACACAGAAATCCACTGCTTTTAAAAAACAGTCTTTTGATAATTTCTTGGTTCCAAATAAGAATAATTTTTAAATTGAATAGCCAAACTAAACATCAAGTGTTTTTAAATATAAGTTAAAAAAAGATAAACCTTGTGATCACGTTCAGCTTAATTGTATTATTTTAGAACCAATCTGATAATCAGTTTCTGATGATCAGCTAATATCCCTTGTGTTTTAAAAAAATTGCATGTTTGTGGTAGAAAAATTAGAATACAGAAAAGTAAAAAGTAGAAAACTAAAATACTCATAAATCCACTGCCTGAGTATGTATCCCTCCAAACCTTTGTTCGTCTGCCTGTGGCTATTTATACGTATTTTTTGGTAACAAAAACGGGATCTGCTATACACATGGTTTTGTAACCTTTTTCTGGTTTACTTAACGTCCCATCATGAATGTCTCTCCGTGTCTGAGTTGTCAATTATAATGGTTGGATTATTTTATGCTGGACTGAATAATAGTCTATTTTATGAATCTGTGATAAGTAGACTGATTCATTTTCATTAGACACTTTGTTTCATTCCCCCCACCCTGCCCATAATTATCAATAACCCTGCAGTGACGATCCTACGTACATCCCTGTGTATACCTGTGAGATTTTTTCCTTAGGATAACTTTCTAAAAGTACAATCGCAGGATCAAAGGACATATGCTAGGTTTTAGTTTTTGATATGTCCTTCCAGTTTGTCAGTCAGAAAGGGTGTAGCAATTTACAGTCCTACTGCAAGGTAAAACGAGTGCCAATGTCTCCGTTGGTTTCGAATGCCTCAGCCAGTGATAGGCTTGTGAATTATTTCTTTTTAGGATTTTAGTATAACCGGTCTAGGAGCCCTGGTGGTGCAGTGGTTAAGTGCTCAGCTGCCAACACAAAGGTCCGTGGTTTGACCCCACCAGCTGCTCCACGGGAGAAAAACGTGGCAGTTGCTTCCGTAAAGATTACAGCTTTGGAAACCCTATGGGGCAGTTCTTCTCTGTCCTACAGGGTCGCTGTGAGTTGGAATTGACTCGATAACATCAGGTAATATAATCTGCTTAGTAACGTGATACAGAAAGGCTGGAAATCCATGCGCCTGTAGTAGTGATAAAACCACAAACTAAACCTAATGGTGATAGCGAACATTTATCAAGACCGGCCTATGTGCCTGGCACTTTGTGGCATTTTATATGCACCAACTCACTTAGCTTCCTTAAAACTCTACAGAGCAGCTGTGTTTCACGACAAATGTGCCT